AGTTGTCTTCACTCACATCTCGCTAGTCCCTAGCATTCCACATCCAGTTTGTCATTAGGGAGTTTGCTTCATGCTGCTATAGAGTCACCGTGAGTCAGAACTGACTCAGTAGCAACAGGTTTGGTTTGGTTCCAAGTGCAGGATTTGGATCTTAGCTTGTTTGAAAAATTGGTTTAACTCTTACCTCCTCTAACTTTGATTCAAGTGTTACACCATTGTAACTTCTAAAATGGTAGTATAAATACTGGATTTACTTTCTGAATCCCTAAAATCACTGCAATGATCATGTGATTTTAGGGATTGGCAGTGATCATGTATATGGTACTTGAAGTGCCTGGTACAATGTCTAGCATATGTTAAATTGTTAAGTGCCGTCCTCATAGTGATCTTGTCTAGGGTTTCCAAAGAGTGGCTTGTGGGCTTGAACTTCCAACCTTGCAGTTAGAAGTCCAGAGCTTATCTTACAGCACGATCTAGGCGTCTGTCTAAGATATAGTCAGTGTTCAATAAATGTTTGTTAAATAAATAAATGAGATACTTGAGAACTGGACTGGTATAGAGTATGCAAAGGAATGGGTGAATCTGAAAGATATTTAGGGGAAGAATAAGATTTATTGATTATGGTACTATAGGATAAACACTGGACCATAAGGTCCGTTGGAACCACAAGATTGCTGTTCAAACTCATCAGCTGCTCCTCAGAAACCCTATATAGGATAGCTATGGGTTGGAACTGCCTCAACAGCACTTAACAACAAATAACAACAACATTGATTGATTAGAGGTAGGATGTGAGGAAGAGAGAGAATCTTCTAGTTTTGACTAAGATAGGAAAACTGAAATGGATGGGGTGTGAATATAAAATGTCTACATTTTTTTATTTTAGGCATGATGTGTTAGAGATGCTTGTAAGTCATTAAATGCGAAATGACATTTCTAATAGAAATAAGAATAGAAATATTTCTAATAGCCACATTGAAAAAGTAAAAATACCCCCAAGACTATGGCTTATAGTTACCCTTCAGGTCTGGAAATGAACTCCTGACTGAATTTTCAGTCAAGCAACAGACATTACTATGAGGTACGCACACTTTCGAATAATAAACCATTGTGACCAAATGGGCAATATTTATCCAAGGACAAAGTTCTGAAGGGTTAGGAAAGAGGAAGGAATGGAAACAGAAAACAGTGCAGAAGTGGGATAAGTGATGGTTCATTGTAAGAAATGCAATCTGTGAGATGAAACAAAATGTGTAGAAATTTTTGAATGGAAAGATGATTTGCCTTATCGACCTTCATCCAGTCTACAATAAAGATTTTAAAAAAGAAGTAAAATTACCATTGGTGCAATTACTTTTGATAATTTTTAACTCAGGGCTTCTCACAGCTGTTCTATTAACTCTATTGGCTGGAGAATTAATTCTGTCTTATGGGGATGTTGTAGGATACTTAGCCACCTTCCTACCTCTAAGTTGTAACAATCAGAAATATCTCCATTGACAAATGCCCCCTGAAGGGTAGCAAAGTCATCCCCAGTTGAGAACCACTGATTTAATCATATAGTATCCAAACTATTATCTCAATAACGAAATATTTATATTATACAATCTTTTTTTCATATCGAATCTTTGAAACTGGATGTGTTATTTTACACTTAACATCACTTCGCAATTTCTGCTAGCTGTTTCAAGTGCTCAACAGCTACATGTAGCTAATGTCTTCCATATTAGAGAACACAGACCAAGAGCTTTAGAGGAAAGGTTAGAGCTAGAAATATGCATTTGAGAATGCATGAGACAATAGCAATCTAAACTATGGGAGTAGATAAAATAGTCCATGCATACATATATTTAGGGAGTCCTGGTGTGGCACTGTGCGTAAATTTGCTGGACTGCAAAGTCATTTGAACCGCTAGATTAGCAGTTCAAACTCTCCAGCTGCTCCTTGGAAACCTCATACAGGGTCTCTATGGGTCGAAACCGACTTGATGGCACTTAACAACAACACATATATTTAGAATGAGAAAATAGGAAGATTGAGAAAGACTCCTAGCAGGATAGGAGCTCTGGTAGTGTAGTGGTTACGAATCGGGCTGAGAACCTAAGGTCAGCAGTTCGAAACTACCAGCTGTTTGCGGGAGAAAGATGAGGCTTATCTGCTCCCGTAAAGATTACAGCCCCGGATACCCTGTACAAGGTTGCTATGAGTCAGAACCGACTCCATGGCACATAAGTACCATAAGCAAGCACCTAGCAGGATGGTCTAGTTTCCCCACACAATGTGGAACTCCTTGTTTACTTTTTTCTTTTAAATTTTATTTATTTTGTTGCTAAAATATATATATACACAGCAAAATATATGTCAGGAGCTCTGGTAGCGTAGTGGTTACGAATCGGGCTGTGAACCTTAAGGTCAGCGGTTCGAAACTACCTGCTGCTCCGCGGGAGAAAGATCAGGCTTTCTACTCCCGTAAAGATTTACACCCTTGGAAACCCTGTACAGGGTCGCTATGGGTCGGAACCGACTCGATGGCATTTAACAACAACAACAACAGTTTCTTAGTATACAATTCAGTAAAAATGATTACCCCGAGTTGTTTCGCCCTCTTTAATATAAACTCACTGCCCTCCAAGTTTCCTACCCAATCACTCAAATTACTAGTCTCACTTGATCCCTTATTATTGTTAAGTGCCCATTGAGTCAGTTCTGACACATAGCGACCCAGTATAGGGTTTCCTAGGAGCAGCTGGGAACCTGGTGTGGATTTGTAGGATAAAGTTCTGGATTGCAAGGTTGGTTTGAACCACACAGTCGGCGGTTCAAACTCACTAGCTGCTCCTTGGAAAGGCTATATGATCACTATGAGTCAAAACCAACAACTGGAAAGCAATTAACAATAACAGGAGTAACTGGTGGGTTTGAACTGCCGACCTCGTGGTTCTCAGTCCAGTGCTGATCCTATAGAGCCACATCAGGAGTCCCTTATAGATAGTTTAAAAAAGAGCATAATGCTCAAGGCAAAGGAGCCCTCTGGTAGCTTAGTGATTACCTGCTGGGCTGTTAACCACAAGGTCAGCAGTTTGAATCTATCAGTTGCTATGAGTTGCAAGTGACTCAACAGCACACCACCACCACCAATGCTCAAGGCAGATCTTTTTTAACTAAACTGCATTAAAAAAATATATATAGTATTCTCTCTGAACACTGCAGAGAACATGAATCAATAAAATTCATGATAATGGAAAATACTGGTGGCAAAGTTAACATCTATTGAACTTTTAATTGTTAATATTAGAAACGTGAGTCCTGGTGTGGCGCTCTGGGTTAATGTGCCAGACTGCAAACCTGTTTGAACAGCAAGATTGGCGGTTCAAGCTCACCAGTTGCTCCTCGGAAACCCTATATAGGATCGCTATGGGTCACAATTGACTCAGTGGCAAGCACTTAACTACAACAACAACATTAGAAACAGGAGTCTCTGGCTAGCACAAATGGTCAAGTGCTTGACTACGAGCCAGAAGGTTGGCTGTTTGGACCCACCCAGAGGCACCTTAGAAGACAGGCTTGGTGATCTACTTCCTTGAAAACCCTAGGGATCAGTTCTTCTCTGACAACATGAGATTGCCGTGATTCAGTCACTCAAGGGCAACCAACAATTGTTAAAACCCCAAACTCACTGACATGGAGTTTTACAGGACAGAAGGGAAGTAGTTTCTGAGTTTGTAAATCAGTACTAGAGCAATCTTTCTCCCATGGAGAATTTGGTGGAGTTGAACTGTGACGTTTAGCTTAGCACTCTAATGCTTAACCCACTACACCTTAATAAGGATGTTGTTGTTGTTGTTAAGTGCCAGTGGAATAGGTTCCTACTCATAGCAATCCTCTATAGGATTTTCAAGGAGCAGCTGATGGGTTTGAACTGCCAACCTTGTAGTCCTGTCCTTACAGCACCACACCAGGCCTGTTGTGTGGTATTGTTCTTGTGGTTTAGCGCCGTCATGTTGGTTCTGACGCATAGCAAATAGGTTTCCAAGGAGCAGCTGGTGAGTTTGAACCTCCAACCTTGTGGTTCAAACCGACCTTGCGATCCAGAGCTTTATTCCACAGCGCCAAACCAGTACTCCTGTGTGGTATTACTAGGATTTTAAAGTCTGTGTGATTGACTCTAAATCTCCGAGAAAAATAAAGGAGCATTTGCTACACATTGAGTTTTATAAAATAATTAAGAAGGCTTATGTGATTGTGGCACTGTAGAATAAGCAGTGGACTGCTAACGGCAAGGTTGGCGGTTCAAACCCTGGGAAACTTTATATTGTGTCGCTAGGAAACGGACCTGACTCCAAGGCATTTAACAACAACAACATGTGATTGTACAGCCAGGGTTCCCAGGATATTTATTACCACTTATTATCTGGCCAGGAGTCCTAGTGTGGCGCTGTGGGCTAATGCCTCAGACAGCAGTCATTTGAACTGCAAGGTCGGTGGTTCAAGCTCACCAGCTGCTCCTTGGAAACTCTGTACAGGGTCGTTATGGGTTGGAATAGACTCAATGGCACTTAACAACAACATTATTTGATCCCGTTAGCAAATTCATTTTAACAGTGAGTTACAGCGATCTTTGTTACTAGCACATATGATTTGGTTATCATTTGTTCTGAAAGACATCAAACCAGGATGTTTTCACTTAAGTGTATCGCAAGTACATACATAGCAATTTTGTGTCTAGTTGTAATTTTTAGTTACGAAAAATTAGCTAATATGTATTCAGAATTTTACTTGAATATTGAACGGATAAGCGTGAAAGAAAATAATGATCTTTGTAACACCGATTGGTAAATGCAACACTGAAAAAGTGAGGACAAAGGGGTGGGGCAAAAAAGAGGGGGCGTAACAGGGAGAAGGAAGAATCTGAGCAAGCGCAGAAATAAAACAAATGTTAATGGAGGCGTGAAAGCTACTGCGCTTTCTCACTTTCCGAACTGTCGTAAAGCATCTCAAGTGTCGTGCTCGCTCGGTAGGGGAAGGACTGGATCGGCGGTGGCGGCGGCGGCGGCGGCCGGAGAGCTGTAGCACTGGAGGTTCTCCGAGTGCGCAGCATAAAAACGTTCGCAGCTTCGGAGAAAGAGTTCCTCTGGGACCAAATTAGGCATTTTGAATCCAAGCCGGGTTGACTGGGCCGAGTCTAGGCGCTGCTTCTCGTACAGTGTTTGTGGCGGTGACAGACGCTGCTCTTGACTATAGGGGCCTATTAGGCCGAGATCTGAGGCGCAGATCTCTGGTTCTCGACGCATCCCCATTCCCACTTACATCTCTCGTCTTGCTTCCTGGGTCAGTGATTCCCGGACCCTGGGAAGAGGGTGGCTGATGATAAAGGTGAGGGGGCTAGGGGGGAGGGGATAGATTGGAGGCCGCGCGTGCGCGAAACGGGGGAGGGGCCGGCCAGAAGGGGAGAAAGAGGAAGGGCTGCGGCGGGGGAAGGCTGGGGTCGTCGACCGGCGGGTTGTTGCTGCTTCGGTAGTGATTTAGGGTCTGGATCTCTGCCGAAGATCTAATTGTGTTCGGGCAAAGCCTCTGCCTATAGACACACCCACACCTCGGAGTGCGGGAGTGTGGGTGAGGGGATTTCTTTACCGTTTTCGACTCTCCCTGAAGTCTTAGGATGGGGGCTGAGGCGTGGGAGTGCGATTTGACAATGGAGAGATGAAGGTAACTGGGTCGGGGGAGTTGGAGCGCGTTCAGTCAACCCTGACGGTTAGGGAGTTGCCTTATGTGATCAAGGAAACGAAGTCCGCGGAACACCAGAAATAACGCGTCAGATGTTGTAAGATTTTGTATAGAGTTGTTTGTGTTAGTCATTAAAAACGAAGCTTAGTATTTAAATTTTTGACCTTAGATAATTTACAAGAGTTAGTGGCAGTGCTGTTAGGGATATATCACTTCTGTAACTGCAGAATAAGGGATTTGCCACGATAGCTCTTAAATAGATGAACACCTTTGCAGATGTTTCTTAGCCAAGTGTAAGTTTTAATATAAAAAAAAAGCCAGGAAGTATAGGTATTCATTTAATTTGTTGGTGTTTGTAGTGTGGGGTGACTATTGTATTGTAATCTTTCCTGTTTCTTGATTTATGTGCAGTATGAATTTAGAACTCTCCTGAGTAGTAAGATGCCAGCTGACATAGGCTTCATTTTACAGAGTTCTTAGAGCTTTTGAATCTGCCTGAATTCAAACGTTATTTTATTTGGTATTTTATCTTTAGTATTCTTATTTAAAGAACCGATCGAACCATTAAGAACAGACTGAGAAGAAGAAAAGCATAGGTTCCATTTCTTTCTTTCATGTGTGTGTGTGTTGTGTGTCTGATTAGAAGTGTTAGAGTGTGATTTTGATATTACATAGAACGGACAGGTAAATTTATATATTTTTTAGTAAAAAATGTCATGTCAATATAAAGCTGAAATTTGGTTACGTTTATGAGACAAAACATGAGATGAGAAAGAAGACCTTTTACTTTGAAAAGAATCTTGGATTGGAGTTTTTTCAAAACCTTGAATTCTTATTTGTGTCTCCGTTGTTGCCATTTAACCTTGGACCAATGACTTTATCATTTTTCTCTTGCTCACTTTGCCACCTAACATTCCCTGTAATATTCTAAGAACTGGTGAGGTTGTTTATGAATTGGTCTGAGCAATACTGTAGGAAGAAGTTGGTAGAGTAGTCTGTTAATGTTCTTATATGTGTGAATTCTTTGTCTCATGTTACTTTTTTTCACCTTTTGTTTCGTATTTGTTGGCCATTTGTTAGTTCTTTCACTAGAAATAATGTTGATTCTTGACGAAAGGTGTAATAAAAAATTCATTTTGGTGGAAAATTCAATATAGTACGAAAGTGTAGTGGTTACGAATCGGGCTGTGAACCTTGGGGTCAGCGGTTCGAAACTACCAGCTGCTCCGTGGGAGAAAGATGAGGCTTTCTACTCCCGTAAAGATTTACACCCTCGGAAACCCTGTACAGGGTCGCTATAGGTCGGAACCGACTCGACGGCACTTAACAACAACAACAACCTTGAAATTTCTAGATTTGGTTAATTTCATTTTAGTATTAAATCTATCCATTTCTACAAATAATTGAGAAACAGCTATAGTGATGTTTAAAACAAGAGAACAGTAATTTACAAGCAGCAACGGGATTGTCAGCTGTGGTAGTGTAGTGATTACGAATCAGACTGAAAACCTCAAGGTCAGCAGTTCGAAACTACCAGCTGTTCCGCAGGAGAAAGATGAGGCTTTCTACTCCCTTAAAGATTTATAGCTTCGGAAACCATGTACAGGGTCCCTATGAGTCGGAACTGACTCCGTGGCACTTAACAACAACAATTTCTAAATAGAATTGTTTTCACTTTAAATTTTCAACGAATTGAATCAAGCCAATTATATTTTAGATGTTTTATTAATTTGTCAGAAAGGGGTTTCTGTATCATGCTCTATTGAAGGCATAATTAATTATATATATGACCTCAATTTAACTTTTTTTCTGTTGTGTGCTGGGACTTCAGAGGTAAAAAAGCCTTAAGAAACAACAGTAATTAAAATATGTTATAACTTGATTTTGGAGTCCTGGTGTGGCTCTGTAGGATAAGCTCTGGACTGCTAACTGCAAAGTCAGCAGTTGAAGCCTACCAGCCCCTGTTTGGAAGCCCTACACAGGGTTAACATGAGTGGAACTTACTCCAGTGCACGTAACATAACGATACTAACCTTCTGAGGGGTGCATTGTCTTATGAAAGAATATAGGGCTAGAGATAGAAAATAGAAACTTAAATTTAGCTGTGGTTGCTATTCATTAGGTCTGGTACCTTAATTCTGCCTGGGTTCAGGTAGCTTTCAACTGTTAAATGAAAAGTTTGGGATAGACATTTCTGGTTTCCTCTATAACCCAAATTTAATGATTTGTATTTTTTGTTAATGTTAGTATTCATTGTGTTATTCACCATGATCAGATTTCCATAAAGAAGTGCTATACAGAAAGTATAAATTTCTTTATATATCATATATGGAGTCCTGGTGCGGCATTGTAGGATAATGCACTGGACCACAAGGTTGGTTTCAACTGCAAGTTTGGCAGTTCAAACTCACCAGTCGCTTCTTGGAAACCCTATTCAGGTTGCTATGAGTCGGAACCAACTCGATGGCACTCCACAATAACAACATATAATACATTGTTGTTGTTGTTATGTGCCACGGAGTTGGTTCCAACTCTTAGCAACCCTGTACAGGGTTTCCAAGGCTATAAATCTTTACGGGAGCAGAAAACCTCATCTTTCTCCCGCAGAACAGCTGGTAGTTTCAAATTGCTGACTGTGAGGTTCACAGCCCGATTCGTAACCACTACGCTACATAGTTATTGTTAAGTGCTGTGGAGTCAGTTGTGACTCATAATCACTCTTTGTAAGTTTTCTGAGGAGTGACTGATAAATTTGAACCATTGAACTTGTGGTTGGACTCAATACCAGAAAAAAAAATGTTGTTGTTAGGTGCCTTTGGGTCATTTCCAACACATAGTGACCCTGTATAGGGTTTCCAAAGAGTGGCTGGTGAGTTTGAACTGCTTACCTTGCAATTCAAAACAACCTTACTGTCCAATGCTTATCCTACAGTGCTACATCAGTACTTTGTGCGTGTGCGTGTCTGTGTTAAAACTCATGATTTAGTAGACTTCATAAGGTACTAAAAATGAAACTTTTCATTACTTTTGGTGACATTCTTTAATACCACCTGAATAATTTGTTTTCCTTTCAGAAATCTGTAATCATGGTTTATTAGAAGTCCAGAATTGCATTGGCTCTCTTATTATACCTCGTTTTTTCTCTCTTGCATCCTACAGATTCTTGGTAACAGCCTGCTCAGGTTTCCACTTGTACTTGGTTTGTACCATTGCCTAAGGACTAAGGTACAAATGTTTTAAAACAAATACTTAAACCGAACCTAAATTTTAAATAGAGGTGTTTTGTTGTTATTATGTGCTGTGGAGTTGGTTCCGACTCATAGTGACCCTGTACAAGTTTTCCAAGGCTGTAAATCTTTACGGAAACAGAAAGCCTCATCTTTCTTCTGTGGAACAGCTGGTGGTTTTGAACTGCTGTCCCTGAGGTTCACAGCCTGATTCGTAACCACTACACTACCAGAGCTCCTTAAATAGAGGTGTATGTACTGCATTGCTTTTCTCAGTCGTTCGGTAAGTATTTATTGAATGCCTCATGTTGTAGGCACTGTTCTTTGTCCTTGGGATTCAGTAGTGAAGAAGGTACTCTGCCTTCACAGAGTGTGTATTGTACTGGGGAAAGACAAATAGTCTGAAACATAATAGTTTGAGATAGTATTACGTCCCATGAAGAAAATAAAACATGACAATGTAATAGACACTATATGGAAGTGGGGCTCTATCATAGGAGACTTCTTGTTTTAGAAGGCAGTATTTGATTTAATATCTCAGTGACTAGAACAAACTAGCCACAGAGTCATTCTGCAAGAAGAATGCTGTTGACAGGGAACAGCAAGTGCATTATATTGAATTTGATTCTGGAGAATCTGTAGTGTAAATTTATTTGGTTTGTCTGTTAGACTTTTTCTTAATTGCTGATAAACCCACTGCCATCAGTTGATTCTGACTCACAGCAATCCTATATGGATTTTCCACGGCTGTAAATCTTTATGGGAGCAGAAAGGCTTATTTTTCTCCTGAGGAGTAGCTGCTGGGTTTGAACTACTGACCTTGAGTTTAGCAGTCCAGTGCTTTTCCTATAGCACACTACAGCTCCTTGTAATTGCTGATAGTGTGAAAAGATTGAAACTATCTTACCTGTTGTAACCGAATGTAATGTGTTCGCTTAATTTAAATCCTAACTCAAAGAAACCAACTGTAAAAAGTCATTTTTAAGCAGTTGAGAGAACTATGTGGATGGGCATTATATAGTATCAAGGCATTAATAATTTTGTTTATAATGGCATTGTGTTTATGTAAGAAAATCTCGGAGATGGAGACTGAGAAATGAGGATAAATTGTATCTGTTGTATTTTAAAATTTAGTGCCCCCACCCTCCAAAACAAAGGGCGGAGATGTATGGCAACAATATTGATAATTGTACTTTGGAGTGATGGTTATAAAGATCTTAATAATATTCTATTTAAAAACATTTAATAATGTATAGAAGTGTCATTTTTAGATGTTTTCTCTCTTTTCCGTACTTTCTCCCAATTTTGATAAAATACAGTATTTTGTTTCTCTTGCTAAATGTTTAGTATTTATTAAAAAATGAGTGCCTACTATTTTTCAGGCACTGTGCCAATGCTGTAGTTAACAGCAAAGAGCAGAAT